GACAGACAACGGCGGCAGGCTCAGCGTCGGGCTCGGGCGCCGCAGTCCCGGGTGGCCGAGGCGCGAGCGACCTGGTCGAGCACTGCGTCGCCACTAGCGCTGCGTGTCGCGCACGATACGCAAGTGAGCAAGAGCCTCCGAGACGAGGCGAGGGGAACAAAAAGTGACACAAACATAAAAACTCTGAGGTCCGCGCGGATTTCTCGGATCGGCGCTGGACCCCCCTCCCTGGCGCGCGGAGCGCGCCAGGGGCGGCGCCGGAGGCTCCGGCCGGGGGCCCCAGCGCGGATCCGAGAAATCCGCGCGGACCTCCGAGTTTTTATGTTTATGTCATTCTTCGTTCCTCTAGAGGCGAGAACTGCAATTCACCTCGCAACTTCATGATAAAGATGAAGGCGAGAACACACAAATAGTTCGCTGTCTCGAGGGAGGTGGAACCATACTCACAAGCAGCATTGTACCGGCTGTCGGGACCGAGCCCGAGACGCATGATAGGATCGCTCGGATCAATGGCGCGAGGGCGAGCGAGGGGATGAGACAAGCGGGGGCAACGAATGTTGTGGGCAAAGGAGCTGGGGGCACAAAGATCGATCCCAGGGCATTCGTCCACACATCCACGCCTGCAGCCAATTGGGGTCAATATACCAATTCTCGCCGAAGTGATACACAGGCGCCTGCTGGAGTCTTCAGATGTGGCCAGACTGGAGAAGGTGCAAAGGCAGCCAACGTGTTTTTGAGGCAGCCCCACCTCCAGGACGGACGGGAAACTACTTTGCAAGCCGAAGCTCAATTAGATCAGGGATACAGTCAGGGTGAAGCTAGGAGCAAAAGGACCGAGGAAAAAGGAACTGTGAGCTGCACCACGCTTTCTCCACGGGTACTCAGCCGGCACCTCCGACGCAGCGACAGCAGCCTGGATCGCTGCCCTTGGGATGCGCGACATCAGCACTCGAGACAGCGTCCGTAGCTTCGCAGGAGCAGCCCCGAATTCAAACCTATGGCAGGCCGCCGCCGCCAAAATCGAAGCGACCACAACTGGTGCACATTCTGTGAAGAATCCACAATCCACCGCCGCCAGCCGAAGCCTCTCCCCACACTCTGGCCACTCCGAAAAGGTCCTTCGACTCGCGGGGCAGTATCAGCAATGCAGCTAGATTCGATGGGAATCGGTGCTGCCGACCTCAGCCACCTGCCTCTTCCTAGCGGTTCGGACAGTCGGAACGAGCTCAGGGGAAGCCGTAAAACCTTGTGCAGCTCTAGGTCCACTTGTGCCGTGAATTCGGGCCATGAGAAAAAAAGGGGCAACGTAGGAGAGGGAAGGCAGGGTAGGATGACCGAGGCCCCGGAGGGAGCCCTGGACAGCCACAACTTTTGTCCAGGGCCTTTCCATTGAGCGGCGAGGTCGGCCCCAGGGCCCAGCATGGCGCCTAGATATGTGGGGACCCCCTGAATTTTGAAAGCTTCTCAACGGGGGGCATACCTAGCGAGGGCCGCTTCGGCCTCCGAGACTGGCCGCATCACACTCAGCCCACAGTGGGACGAATCAACCTGGAAATGGCTGGAGCTTATGCAGGTAAATTTTTTCGGCCTGCTGGACAGCCTCGTGCAACTGACTTACTCTGGAAATCTGCATTGACACGGCCCCCACGACATAAGAACATCCCCCATGGGTCCCTTCCGACAGTAGAAAACGCCACACTCAAACACCGAACCCACGCATCGAAGCCCAGAGCCCAGAGGCTCCCAGGTAAGGGGCACCCCTGGGGGGCGCCCGACATGATGGGAAAAAACAACACAGATTTCTCCCCGACCTTAGCGCGGCCAATCGCCTCGTGCACCAGGTCAGCAAGGAGGTGGGTGTAGGAGGGCGGGAGGTCGAACCACTCGACCGCACGCCTTAGAAACAGCTGAGACATGCTAGGGAAGGCAACATTCACGTCAAAACTCAGAAACCCATGGAGCCGCTTATCCGCACCGGGTAGGAGGCCAGCACGCCGACATTCGGCGTACAGAGCAACTTTGTGCTCGCCAAACTTCCTTCCTGGCACGAGTCCTTTCTGGGCTCCATGGGCGTTCTTCGTCACCATTTTCGAGAAGGTGGCATTGTCGCGACAGCTTTGCTGTCAGCACTCTGAAGGGCTAACGGCCTCGTGCATTCTGGTGCACGCGTGCAATCGACAAGATCAACGGCCTCCTCGCCTTTCGGGAGAAACGCACGGAGACAATTGTTGAAGTACAGTGGAAGATACTGCCCTTCCGAGATCTTGACTAGAACGCCGTGCAGAACCTCAATGAGGACCGGGTGGCCTCTCCAGGCGCTGGCGTTGAGCCTGTCGGGCCCGGGCGCGGGGTCCCTGGCTTTTTTGAAAGCCAGCCGAAGATCCTCGAGCGAGGGCATTGGGAGGTGGGAACTACCCCTCGCTGGCATGCGCCTGTCCGCAAAGGGGGGGATCAGATGCTCCTGCACACGCGCCACGGTGAAGACGGGCTTCTGGTGATC